AGGGTTTTAGGGTTTAGGAGCTTAGGGCTCAAGGGTTTAGGGAGTCGTCTAGATAGGTATGTATCTGGGTGTATATCTATATTTGTATTGAATGATGGATTGTGTAATGTAGTGGAACTGTAACCTACCGAATGTTGTTCCAGAAGTAGTATAGTACAAGATCTTCAAAATTTTGGGTCAAGCGAGGTCTATGGCAGGATTTTGCGGGTTTGTCCAAATGGGTCCAAGGGCTGTTCATACAGCAGGGATGGCTAATGTGCCTAATCAGCTTCTTGAGAACAACTCCATGTGTTCGGGTTCTTGCCGGCAGTCTCCCTTAGAGGTTTGGACGCGACTGGGGCCTTAGTCTATTGGAGGAGTTGAGCCTCAAGGTCTGAGGAGAAGTAAGAAGGCCTCACTCAAGCCCTCAAAAATGAAGCCCTAAAGGTTCAAAGGTTGCGCCCAGATTTCTGCTTCGGCCAGGGACTCCCCGGGCCGAATCGCAGAGGCCTCGAAGTCCCGAAAGGAACAGCTCGGGAGACCACGAAGCTGCGAGAAACAGGGAATCCCAGTTCGACCGCTGCTGTTGAACCCTGAAGTACACACCCCAGAAGAGCGACTAGCGCACTCCGAGGCCATCGCAGTTCGCATTCTTGACGGCATTCCTGCATCGGAGACTCAACTTCCGCATGGATAGCAGAGCACAAGTCTAGCTGCTGGATTGGCCCATACAATCGGAAAGCCGACCCATCCCGAAACTCACCTTACAACGCAGCGAGAGTGAGCCTCAGCTGCACGCATCATGAACGCACAGCTTCGCAACGCGGCCCACGGCTAACCTCCGACCTCCGGAGCCCCGACAGAAACTGCTCCGAAGATCAGTGCTGGGGCTCGGAGCGGCTGTCCTCGATGGTCATGTAGGTGGGACTGATGAGACCGAACTCGTCTTTCTGGGCATGCAAGGGGCCATCCGTTCTTGTTAACCGACCGCCGAGAGTATTACCAGCAACCCGTATTGGGAAGAGAAGCCTCAGTAGTCATGCTGTAACTCACAACTTACAATGCGTGTCTATTTCTGTACAACTTTCACGAAAGTGGTTAACTGAGCACCTCTGTTCATAACGTGATGAAAACTATCAGTATAGCCCCTCACTACAACCTTTCATGTATGTCCCAGTGTACTCCATGTGCATCAAGAATGTTTTCGGTGTGCACGCACGCATCCTCGCTTCTTTCAGATTTGCAGATTTGTATACTTCCTGTCCAAATCGCGAGTGCAGCAGTCGAGAAAGTACAAACAGTACTCAAAAAAAACAAGTCAAAACATGTGGTGGCTTGTTAGGAACTGTATGACGATGACTGTTTGCAATGGGGACTGCAACCCCGATCATTAAACAGATGCTGGCCCATTCAGTTCTGGGGATGACTTTACAATTCAGGTCTGTCCGGGTCCTGGATACATTCCATGAACAAGTTTGCAAAACTGCGATGAGGGTTCGATAACAGCTATCAAAATGCTTTGTGCAGTTGCGGCTTTCCTGCGTATGGGATAGCCTAATTCCAGCTCAAATGTTGGGTTGCCGCCATGTACATACATGTGCATATACATGTATGTATGTCTGTATGTATGTCCGTCTGTTTGTTTATCTGTCTATGTATGTATGTATGTATGTATGTATGTATGTATGTATGCATGTGTCTATCGGTGTATCTGTATATCCAAGTACCTATGTAACTATGTGTCTACGTGTCTATGTGTATGCACACATCAATACAGTCACATGCGCACATACATACATACATACATACACACATACATACATACATACATACATACATACATACATACATAAATACATACATACAAACACACATACATACATA